TCTCTCTCTCTCTCTCTCTCTCTCTCTCTCTCTCTCTCTCTCTCTCTCCTCATCCTCTCTATCAATGATATGACAAATTCAAAAGCTGTAAAACAAACAAAGAAAATAAGTTGTATAATGATTAACACTGAGGGAGGCGAGTGGGAGCGAGCGAGCGAGTGAGTGAGTGAGAGAGAGAGAGAGAGAGAGTGAGAGAGAGAGAGAGGTATTATAATTTGATCTAGAACATAATTAATAAAGTTTTAACTGATGGCAAACTCCTACAGACTGTTGACAAACAAAACCCGATAGATAGTAAAGGACATACATTCGAGTGATACTTATGTAAGAAAATGTATAGTTTATTGTAATGAAAACACAAACATAATATTCAATATTAAAATGATTGTTCATTTAGACACAGACGGAAAAGACAAACAATATTTTGGGACATAAACCCATATCAAAATATATGAATCACTCGTCGTTTGCATTCACTATTTGTTATTATATACTAAAAGAATATTCTGGGAAACTTAGCACTTGTTAAAACAACTGCCCGATTGCAATAAATATAAGTATATTAAACCAACTTTTCAATTAAAAAACGCCCTTGATTATTTATAAAATATATTTGCGCCATGTAACTTATTACAATAATGGTTAATTATTATAAAATATATATTTGATCATACTCTAAATTATGATTCTATCAATTCAATGATATAGGGTACTTTAAGAATATAAGTAAACAAGTTGACATTACTGTATGACATCATATATATAATAAGGGGAATGGGATGTGAATGGGAAGGGTATGTAATATATGAAAGTCACGCTCAATCACAATCACACAACACATACTGTATATCTACATAGAGTAGAGATGGATATTGTGTGTACACTATAAACAAAAGTCTGTAGAATACAGTACAGCGTTATAGTATGTGTTGGTGTGGGGTATAGTGTTTCCGAGCAAATATTTGCTTTTGTTTTATATATATTATTTGCGATATTTGTTTTTGTTTGTGAGTGAAAGCGAGAGAGAGAGAGAGAGAGAGAGAGAGAGAGAATCATTCTTTGTGTTTATAGCAAAACAATATAAATTTTTCTTATGTTTGCATTTATTGTGAAATTCAGACTAAAATACATACACAACGGAATATTGTAGAGAATATTCTGTCGTTTATTTGCTTTTTATGATTGAAATTCTTGTATTTTGTTTTGTTTTCAATAAAATGAATAAAAAGCAAAAATAAATTTTTACCCAAAAAATATATTCTCAAAGCATCGGAGAAAAAACATAATTTATTTTTTCTATTTATATTTCAATTACTTTTATATTGATTTTCAAACGCAGAAAATAAATAAAACAGATATAGGATTACTGGAAATTTGTGATTTTATTGTCATTTTTTATTTTATTTTTTGTATTTATTTATCACTTATTTCTAACGTAGAATTTATTTATAACTCATATTTCCAAGCATTTTAATATACCGTTCATTACATGCATGTTATATAACAGATAAATATAATAATTCTCTACCCACCTTGGTGGGCTAAATTGTTTTAATATATTACATATGAGCTAAAATAACACATTTAATTTAATATGGTTTATATATAGCCACAGTATATTGTATTAAGAGATGAACAGTAAGTTTCATTATGGTTGTTGTTTCATTGATTTTAATGTCAAAGAGTTAGACCAAAAAAATTGTTGTCATTTGTATTTTTAATTTAAATAAATAATTGAATGTTAGAATGGGAGAGACATTGAGAGACAGAGTATTTATATTTATTGAACCGATTATATGAATGTCTGAATTTTGTTATACTGTGTATGAATTGAGTCATAAAATCTACACATTTTTTATCTCTCTCTCTCTCTCTCTCTCTCTCTGATATTTATTTGTTGAGATATTATTTAGTATAGAAATATACTTTTCATTCTCCCACTACTTCTATAATACAATTTTATAATAGATTGAAATCGACTAATAAAATAAAAAATAAAAATAAATTTATTTGTTATAAACCAATATATTGTGTGCAATTTTATTGTTTATTTTAGTAACTTTTCTATGAATGACATAAATTATATCTATCATTTTATAATATTACAATTGTCACAAATAATAACAATATTTGACGCACATTTAATAAATAACCACGCTGCATAGTGTAACAAATAAACTGCTATAACTGTATTTTAAAGATTTGTCCAACAAGTTAATCTAAAATACAACTGGTAACAATATAACTGATTTATTATGTTTAAATAATTTATGCCTAAATATTCTAATTATAATTTATTTTATATTATAAATTGATTATAATTTACACTGTTTACAATGAATAACCAGGAACATTTTTGTTCAACGATTTTATATACAGTGTATTTAGTGAACTCATATAAAGTCTATAAAAATATTTATTTCATTCAATAACTGGTCTGATATTGAGGGGAAACGAAACAAAAACACTAAAATAAGTAACAATAATACAGCCTTTCATTGTATATCCCATTTTCACTATATTTTTATGACATATTAAAGAAAAATATTGTTTTTCGTATATATCTATAGTCAAGCGATAGAATAAATATATAAAAATAATATAAAAAGTTGTTATTTTTGCTATTTTTATTATTATTATTTTTATTATTATTTGTTTTAGTTTTATTTGTTTTTTCACTAACTTTTGCTTTTATTTATACAACTCTCGAATTGAAATACGAATTTAATTTTCACGTACAGAATATTCTGCTGTTTATCGCTATTATATGTTTAGATTCTTTTCTATTGTTTTAATAAACTTAATCAAAAGTTATTTATATTTTGTGAATAAATACTATTTAGTTAAACCCTATTATTACTTTTTTATACAAAATAAATGTTTAATTAAATTATATAAAATTTTTGATTATGTACAATAATGTAATAGTGCAAGAGTGTAATATAAATATAGAATCTAGATTATACAATAGATTATAAAATAATAATGATAATTATTTTACTCTTAACTGATTTATTTTGTTATTTTATTTTATTTCTTTAATAGAAAACTTAAACTTTAAAATAGTTGTGACTTTCATTGATTTGACTGTAGACTAAAACGGGATTATAGAAAGCAAACGAAGGATATTTTGAATATATTTTATTAAAAGTTTATCTCTAATATTCAAGTGTTGTTTTTTCACGAAATAATTTTTTGAATTCTTAATATCTAGTATTTACGGTCTTTAAAATTAATTTACTGTTTGTATATCTGGAGAGAGAGAGAGAGAGAGAGAGCTATATGCTTACCTAATATATACTGGCGTTGGGATGAGATGTGCAACTGTTGCATGAGCTGTTGCTGCTCTAACTGTAACTGCCGGAGCTGTAACTCGATCTGCTGTTTGCCACCGGCGCCCGACACCGGCGGTGAGCCCCGTGTGGTGACCGGCGATGAGTGTCTACTGCCGTGAATAAGTGCGGCACCGGTAGGCGTTTGTACTGAAGTTTTACTATTATCTCTATTCCTATCGTTATTACTATTATTGTTTGAACTATGCGATGAATTATTATTACTATTAATATTATTACTATTACTATTTGATGTCAATTGATTGTAGAGTTGTCCTTGTTGTACCATGTTCAATTGTAATTGCTCCTGGAGCTGTGGTATCACCGCATCAGCACCCTGGTTAATGTTAATAACAAAGTATTATTGTATGGAATTTATTGTAGTGGACTCAGAAAAAATTAATAAAAATTGAAATATAACTAGAATTTAATAAACATTTATGATAAGACATGGAATTATATAATATAATATTATTACCTTATTGTGTTGTAGGAGCTGTTGCTGGATGATCGATTGTAACTGATTAGGGCTGAGCACATGTGACTGAAACAGTTGATGCATTTGTAATTGGGATGACATCAACGCCATCGATGAGGGGGACAGACGGCCCCCATTGGCGGCCCCTATGCTCGCCAGCAATTCGTTCATAAGCGCGGACGACGGTTGCGGCGGTGGACTGCCCGGACTGCTCCGACCCAAATGGTGGTTCGCCAGCCCGTGGCCACTGATTAGATCCAGACACGCCCTTTTACTCTGCCATATGGTATAATAGTATGAAATAATTAATCAACTTGATGAAACACCGGAATAAATTATTCTGTGTAATTAATTAATTAACTTATATGTTAAAGGAACTATATAAGTTGTCATAGACTTATGCATAAATGCTCAAGTATATCTATATTGATTAAATGTATAAATAAGTACATTATTGAATAGTGACTGACAATAAGCGCAATTGACAGACAATGAGTGCTATAAATAAGATCACAAATGTTGCGAAAAAATAGTCTCAAACTCTATGAGATTTTAAACAGACGGACCGAGGGTTGGGCTCCTATACACGTGAGCACAGGTAGACACTATTGATCTGTTGACTTCCTTAGATATTTTATTAATAATTGCAAAATAATTATATTCACAATAATGTATATCAAAAATAATAATATATTATAAATTAGTTAATATATTTAGACAAAAACACATTAAACAACAAGAATCTCATTATAAGTGCATTGAAAACTTATTTAAAAGTTTTACACTTATTAACAAAATAAAGAAATGAAAAGTTTTTGCTTTATTTATTCAGAGAAATGAGACAAAATAAAATAACGAATAATAATAATAATAATAATAAATTCGTGACAAAATTACATAAAAGCTAATAATAAATATTATTTATTATATACCGTATACTGTATTAAAACTTTTGATAAAACAAATAAATGACAAACTATTTTTTATTTTTCGATTTATATTGTTTTGAATGGGAGTCTGAGATACACAGGCGAAGACCAAACACATAGTTATCATAATGGATACGCCGGCCCTTCCCGGCCATTACACTCCAAATTATAACAACATAATCATTAATAACCAATTATTCAAAACAAAAAACTTTAAAAACAATAAATTTCAACATTTATTTCTATAGAAATACACTTTTTGTTTATATAATAGAGAATATTCTGTAATATATTTATTTGCCGAGCAAACAATGGATATATTAAACTTATTTTTAATGCAATCGATTATTTGTATAAATAAATAAAAAATTATGTGTAATTTCAATAAATTGTGTGTAAATTAAGACATTATATGACGGAATATGGCATAAAATAATCTATAAAAATAGTGTTTGTATTTATAAACGAGAATTGCTTATACATTGATTGTATGGCAAAACTTATTTAGAGAATTAATGCAAACAAATAACAGATGCAAAGCGTTTACATTAAGTCTTATGAAAACAATTTTTCTTATATATGAGTTATTAGTTTTTATATTTGCTTTCATCTCTCTCTCTCTCTCTCTCTCTCTCTCTCTCTCTCTCTCCAGATATACAAACAGTAAATTAATTTTAAAGACCGTA